CTCAACACCTGGCTGTAAGTCCCCGCATCATGCTCAATACTTCTCTTGGGGGGACCGGGCTGTATTCTCGGAATACTTTGCAATCATCCTACTCTATCAGACTGCTTACGTCGCTTCATCTAGGTACCAAGCAAGCTTGCTTGTTCCGTGACAACCACACCCACCTGACTTCTACTGGTCTTTCTATCTACGGTCTTTCAGGCGACTCCCCTAAGGCCAACACTACGTTCAAGACAAGACAAAATCTCCCTTACCCTCTCTTGTGTGATCCCAAGGCCTCTCTTATTGCAGCCATTGGGTTCAAGAAATCTCCCAAGGGTACACTGCGAGGTGTCTTTGCCGTGGATAAGAAGGGTAAGGTCTTGCTTCGCGAGGCCGGTGGTCCAGACGCGACTGTGGATGCTGTGCAGAGAATTGTTGCCAATGCGTCTAGTGTTGAAGATACTAAGGAGGAAGGTGATGAAGAGTGATTTAACTCAAATGGCAGTGTACAGTCACAATCACAACAAGCGACACTAAGATACCAGATATTGCATGCATGGCACCATCTATGGTGGTTTATTTGTCTTAGGTGTACGTGTTTGGCGTAGATTATTAGGGACATGAGTCCGGGACCATCAGGTTGTTTTGAATGCTGTGGATTCCCAATCTATACAGTTTTGAAACACTGATACAGCACAATTGATTCCTTACGGCTTCCCCCTATCCGTTGACCATCATACCTCCATTGGGATGCAAACACTGTCCGGAAATATAGCTGCTATCCTGACTTGCAAGGAAAACGAAACATGTTGCGACCTCGCTAGGTTGGCCGGGTCGACCAATCGGCACTGTATGGAATTGCTCCATGGCCTCGGTTTGCATTGTTGCGGGGATCAGGGGCGTCCAGACTTGTCTTATTAGCATTTGACTTGGGAATAGATATATGGAAGACCTACTTGGACCCGGACAAACACAATTGACCCGAATTCCCTTCTTCAGCTGCTGGTTTGACAACGCGCGAGTAAATGCGACGATTGCTCCTTTGGTCGAGGTGTAATCTAGGAGATCGCCTCGGCCAATATAAGGATTGACGGATGCGCAGTTGATGATGGTAGACCCCTTTTGCATGTGCTGAAGAGCATACTTGGAAAGATAAAAGAATGAGTGAATGTTGGTGTCGAAGGTCTTCTCCCACTGGGATCTTTTGGTGGATTAGTAGGATGTATTGGCCGAAAAGTAGTAATAATGTAGGGCAACTCACTCATCGAGCTCGCTGATATCGCTCAGCATGTCTTGGAACGCTGCGTTGTTCACAAGAATGTCAATACGACCCATCTTTTCCAGGGTCACATTGATGATCTTTTGGCAATTTTCCTTCTTGCGAATATCGAGAGCGAGAGTATGGCACTGCTGTCCATATTGTTCGACTCTCCTTTTTGTCTCTTGCGCATCCGACTCCTCTTCTGGCAAGTAAACGATGACACTTGACGCACCCTCCATTGCAAACAGGATTGCAACTGCCCGGCCAATTCCGGAGTCACCACCGGTGATGATTGCTCTCTTTCCTTCAAGCTTGCCAGCGGCTTTGTAGATCTGATAACCGTAATCCTCGGTAGGAATGTGAGTAGACACAGGTTTAGGCTCTCCCATGTCAGACTGCAGACCCGGCTTTGTCAAGTGTTGAATAGGAATTTTGTGGCCTATATGATGTGTTGTGTCAGAAACCAATTCCTAGACAGACACAAGTCACTCACCTGGCGCAAATTGGGATTTAGACCCACTGGCCTCTCGCTCGATCTGCTGGGTAACAGGCATATTGGCCGGTTTAGCGCGTGAATATGGACAAGAGTAGTGAATATAGATGACTTGTGTGAAATTGTAGATATGGTACAAATTCCAATGCAGGAAACCACCATTTAAGTAAGATGAGCGATATATGGCCACCAAAAATCAAAGCAATGCCATCAATGTCACTATGATGGTCTACTTACATTCTACTTCTTCTAACCTTTGCCTGTATTGAGGCAATGTACAACCTACAAGTGATGAGCCACCCAGAGCATCTTTGTTCTAGACCTTTTCTGTGGCGGTGGTTTAATCGAACACGTTGGACTATTCGATCCTTCATTGTTGTAGCCACAAGTTGCCCAATTTGGGGGACGACCTGTATGTCCAATCGGACGAGGTGTTTCATGTCTAGATAATATTTCTTTCTTCTGTTTCGATATCCATATCTGAACTGCCTCTGTGCCACGTTTGCCGTCGAGATTAGGTATCAATATGTGTGTGACAAAGGTTTGGCGTCATTTGCCCACTATTTAGGTAGTTGGTGGCGCTCTTCGCCTAATCAGCTCGGAAAAACAACAATTCAAGATGCTTTTTCCATGTGAAATTCCTGTAAGAATAACATGTTGTACTTCTTTTTGTTTGTTAAGGAGAGAGCAAGAAAAGAGAATGGGGAAACATTGACCAGGTGCTATACACACCTATAAATGTTTGGGCTCGTATATTTGAGTGATTTCCAATGACTTTCGCTCAAAATATTGCGGTATTTCGAATTTCCATGAAATATAAAGTGATTCCATCAAAAGTAAGCTATAGTAAATCAGTATAGAGAGTAGTAGCAGGTGTATGATGTTGGAATAGTCGACCTCCTGATATACTGGGGATCCTTATCTTATCAACCAGCAACGTGATTGGCTCACGGCCATCCGCCCGGCGATAATTTTTTCTATTGCGCTTTCCACTCCTCGAGACTCTTGGTATTCCAACAAATTGCCTGACTCTTTTCACAATGGCGAAAGGGCAGTCCAAATCCAAGTCCGTCCCGGTTAATACCGCCAAACCCTCTGAACAGATGGCTCTCTCGTCCGCTCTATCCTCGCCATGGGGGTTCCTCCGTCCCACGAACGATTTACACACGACCGTCGTGGATTCTGCAAAGCACATCCTGGACTCCCTCGCTGGTTCTGTCGTGGACGCCCAGACCGCTCGTCGGCAACTCAACAAAAAGCGCAAAAGGTCAGACCTCGAATCGGATTCAGTCACCCAGCTCCAATTGAAGAATCTCTACGTGGATGGTTTCACCTCGAATCAAATATGGGAACAAGCAACAAGGATTCTCGAGTCGACTGGCGATGAGATTGAGCGTGATATCACATTGATTTCCCAACATGGCGGCTACATGGATTCTGGCGACTCCGAGGAGCTCGAGGATATCTCTGACCCCGAGGGTGCGCAAAGCGACAGCGACAGCCACGAGAGCATGCTTGAAGATCTCTCCGAGGGTTCAGGCGCCGAAGACGATCTTGACGAAGAGTCCGAACAAGAGGTTGATATGGGATCTGACGAGGACATGGAAGACATTGAAGACATGGACGACGACAACTCCTCAGTTGGCTCCGCCGAAGGAGAGCCCGAAGTATTTGTCGAAGATCGATTTGGACTGAACGACGGATTCTTCTCCATCGACGACTTCAACAAGCAGTCCGAGGCTTTGGAGAGACAGGATGCCACAGGAGGACCCGAGCAGGCTGAGGACAGCGACGAGGAGGATCTCGACTGGCATTCGAACCCGTTGATGGCTGGAAATGCTTCAACCATTCGCAGTGACAATAAATCGAAGAATTCACGCCCAACAGAAAAGGAAGACGAAAGCATGGATGATAGTGAGGAGGAAGGGCCAACTTTCGGTAATGCCGATCTCCACGGCGACTCCGATTCTGATGATGAAGACGCCGCAGACATGGAAGACGGTGAAGCCACTGCCTGGGTAAACACCAGTGATATCAAATACGCCGATTTCTTCGCGCCTCCACCCCGCAAAGCCTCCAACAAGAAACATCGCGCCCTTCCGAAAACCCAACCCGATGAACCGGCAGTCGATGAGAGCGATGTTAAACGCGCTATGGACGATGTTCGACGGGACTTGTTTGACGATGGCGATGCGGACTCCGCAGAAGAGGAGGAGAATCTTGAAGGATCTGCAGATCCTACTGCTCCACGCTCCACACATGAAAAGCAGAGGGCACGGATTGCCGATGAAATTCGTCGTCTGGAGGCTGCCAACGTGGCCAAGAAAGAATGGATGTATACTGGTGAGGCCAGAGCTGTCGAGCGACCCGTCAACTCTCTCATTGAAGAAGACCTCGACTTTGAACGAATTGGAAAGCCCGTTCCCGTCAACACCAATGAGACCACCGAGGACATCGAAGAACTAATCAAGCGGCGAATTCTCGCCATGGAGTTCGACGAGGTCATCCGACGTCGGCCAGGCGCCGAGGGTCAGCAAGCTGGAAGAAAACCCCGCTTCGAGCTGGATGATACCAAGCCCCAGCAAGGTCTGGCCGAGATGTATGAAACCGAACATCTTCGTGCTAATGATCCCAACTTCGTGGATACTAAGGACCGCAAGTTGATGCGCGAACATGCTGAGATCACCAGTCTTTGGAACGAGGTCAGCTCTCAATTGGATACGCTATGCAACTGGCACTACAAGCCCAAGGTTGCCCAAGCAAGCATTAACGTCGTCACCGATGCGCCAACAATCATGATGGAAGAGGCACGCCCAACGGCTGGCAGTGCTGCCGGTGGCCCTGTTGGACTTGCACCGCAGGAGATCTACACACCCGGTGATAGTGGTCGAGTTAAGGGAGAGGTGGTTCTCAAGACTGGCGCGTCTATCTCCAAGGAGGAGATGACCCGTGAGCAGAAGGCCAAGAACAGACGCCAGAATAAGCAAACCCAAAAGAAGGCCGATGCTGCCAAACCCACCCAGGAAAAGCCTGGCAAGGCAGCCGAGAAGCAGCAGATGATTTCAGACCTGAAGAAGGGAGGAGTCAAGGTCATTGACAAGGAGGGTCGTATGACGAATATCGACGGTGGCTCTGTCCACGAGGGCGCCAAGAACAGAGGAGACAATCTGAAATTGTGAGGGATGAATTTAAGGGCAAGTGTGTACTATTCAGGAGTCATATTTCTTCTACATAAAATCTATTTATCTAGCATTGCACATATCATCATTTTGTGTCACGTTTCTGGTCAAGACGTTTGGCACGTATCGTGTAGAGGAATATGTTCTCTCTATTATATGCTTCAGCCCCAGGATCGTCACGGACTTGCTCCATTTCAAAAGCCTTTTTCGCCATCTTCATGAACCGCATATCGGCACGTCTGCGACGCTTGTAACAAAAGTAACAGACCGTGTCGGGTCCCAGGAGATCCTGGAGCGTGGTGATCAAGAGAGGGAATGCCGGCTCGAAATAGACGCAGTCTGCCGCGAGGATGACATCTGGTTTCGAAGGAATCTGGCTTGGGATCGGTTCTCCCCAGTTTAGTATCGCAGCAGTCGCGTTTGCGCCGAGATTGTTTAGCTGAATGTTGGACTTCATTAGGGAAAACATAGGTTCTTGGTCTGTGATATAAATCGGTTGTTCGAGATGACACCCGCGTGCCACGGCGAGTCCAACGAGGCCACCTCCAGCGCCAAGCTCCACGCTATTGAAGATTGAATTAGGACGAAACGAGAAGAAATGGAAATGCCCCGATTTGGGCAGTCACCCACATTGTTTTATCAGATAGATCGGTGGTGTGACGACTGAGGAGGTATTTGGCCAAGGCCATCCCTGCTGGCCATAGTTGGCCACCACATCCATCTTTCAGGTCTTCTTTTAGTAGCAATGGTTCTTTCAGGAGTCCGTCGAATGAGATGTCTGTGGTCACTGCGGCTTTGAGTTCGCGCGGAGGCGCCAGGGATTCGCTGACCCTGAGTCCATCTGGACTTGAGGGTGGGCTCAAATCTGGACCCGGAAGAGTTGGCATTGGTATCTCTATCATTTTCGGATATTTGTTGAATTGTTGATTGTTGATCGGAGAAAGTTTTTAGTGGGGGATCTGTAGCTTATCGCAAATTAGACCTAGAACGATCACATGATTGGTTGGGTGGCGATTTGTCTATTAACGTGGATCAAATATAAGAGCTAAATCAAAAGAAAGAAATTATGTAGCATAATTGTATAATTATACGCTAGATGTTTATTTTTCTGGTTTACATTATATTAGGGCCCTAATAGGATACCTGATAGGTTTTGGGTTATAGAATTGGACCCAAACCCTATTTTGGGTTGGGTTGTGCAGAAGTCTACGCTAGCCTAATGTAGGAATGAAAATGAAGCTTTTGATCTCCATACAAATGGAGATATCTCGATTTGTATGGAGATGAAAGGCTTCATTTTTACGGGTTAACGGCGCCTAGTTATTCCATGCCGAGTTGGTTACAGTACACTGTATAGAGATGCCTAAAAGCGGTCTAAAATAAGGCTTAATCCAGGCATATTTAGTTAACTAAGTCAGGCCAAAAGAAGGCATTCAGGCATTAAAATCAGGCATTCGGTATTGAGCGCTATACACCGTCGTAACAGGGAGTCGCTAGTGAGGGCGGCTCGCATCCATTAGGAACTTTTGTTACACTCTATAACTGGGGGCCTACACCTATCTGGGTGAGACGTGCTACTATTTATTATTGCCTACTTTAAGAGGAGTTTTAATATTCAGGTAACTTACCTACTACTTCCAGTACCTTCTCCTGGCCTGTCTTTCCATTATTGGAGGTAAGTACCCACTGGTCAATCATTCGGCGATCGTGGTTCCCGCTAGAAAAATTGAGGAAGGCTTCGCTCCTCTTCACCGGATCCGAAAGACCCCAGGATATGTCATCGCTACTCTGGAACTCCATCGCCATGACATGTGGGACCGAAGCAAGATGACCTCGGCCACCCCAGACAGTAACTCGTCCTCTTCGCCACGAGGCCACAGCCAAAACGAAAGGGACTCGTCCAACCGCAAGAAGCGCAAAGGCCCCCGTCTCGCCCACCGTAAGTCCAGGACCGGATGTCAGCGATGTCGCGCCCGACGAGTAAAGGTACGGTGGATCCATTGCTACAAAATCCGTCCTGACTGATGTAGTGTGATGAATCGCGACCTGTGTGTCGCGACTGCCATCGTCATGGGATCCCCTGTGTTTATGACAGGCCCGCTGAGGAGGGAGCGTTCCCCCCCTCAACCGGGATCCAATCTCGCCCACCCGAGCCCAGTCCATCGGATCCCGGTAACGACGCACATATGGAGCTGCGCTTGCTGCATCACTTTACTCTATTCACCAGCGCTACTATGCCCGGGGCCCATCTGAAGCGTATCAAAGACTGTTGGTCGATCGACGTGCCCCGACTCGCATTCAGTTACAAACCGCTCCTGCACGCCATATTCGCAATATCTGCCCTGCATCTGTCCAAAGCCAACCCAGACGAAGCTGACTTGCCAGACATCCACTGCAATTTCCTCGAGCAGGCTTTGCGCGAACATCGACTCTGTATCGGCGGCATAACTACTAAGACCGCGGATGCGGTGTGCTTTACGAGTATCCTGCTACAGATCGATGTATTTGCTACCTTACAAAATCGTCATGTGGTTTCTTACGAACAGGTAAGTGAATGGATGCGTCTAGTGCGCGCGTCGGTAGCCGTCTTTGACGCGGCCCTGGAGATTACGAGACATAATACTCATCCCCCGAATATCCAATGTATTATTGATACCTTTCCCATGCCCTTGCGGATATATTCTGATCTTGGATCATTTCCCTTCCTGCTTTCGACTGTGCCCGACGACGAGGATGACGAGACGGCGCTAGAAGCATATCGAGGGGCCGTCGCGCATATCAACGCCACCTGGCTGGCCATGGAAGCAAAGGAACATCCGCAAATCAGCTGTCGCCGGCTTATGGTCTTCCCTTTATTCGTGACAGCTGAGTTTATTGACTTACTCGAGAAGAGGAGACCTCGCGCTTTGGTGGTTCTAGCCTACTTTCTAGCCTTGTCGGCACCATTACGCGACATATGGTGGATCGGAGACGCTGCACACAAATACATCATGACTCTTCAACCAATCCTTCCTGCCTATTGGGAACGTCTAATTTCCTGGCCAGTGGAAATGACTATATCCCATGGCACACATCAAACACAACTCGCCATCCAACCACCTCTGTGATTCCCGTCCGAAGCAGCGCCTTCTCGTCCCTCCTCTCGTACCGCGAGCCCTGGTGGGCTTGACCGCGAGAGAGGGGTGGTTGGTACGCTCATCCCCTTCCTTTTTCCAGATAGATCGTTGATATGATTGTCTGGTCTGGAGACGGAGGAATGGTATATGCTAACACAAAGATGCCTCGAGACACAGCTCCTAACCGGCACCCTCCTCGCCCTTGCCCTCGTCGAGATTTCAGTGGTATACATGCTTGTCGCGGAATTCACACAGCGCGCGGATCTAAACCCGACGACGGGGAGTTTGGCTGTTCGTGTTGTGTTGGGGTTTTTCCCCGAGTTGCTCGCGGCTATTGTTTTGGTGTTCGCTGGGTATGTGACCAGAGGAGCGAGTGAAGTTGGTGCTGGTGAGGCTGGGCTGGGGCATGGGCAAGGGCGCCGACACAGACATGCTCATGGCCATGGAAGGCGCTCGAGCTCGAAGCATGAGACTCGGTCGCATTCAAGGTCACATTAGCCTTCGCATTCGCACTCTGCTGGGCGGAGTGAGCGAGGATTCGTATCTAAATGGGAGATTATCTCTTTTTGTATGGTGCGCTATATGCTACAAGGCACCAGGCGTTGTGCAACCAAGTCTATCACAGTTCCAGCGTTTAATACGTGCCTTGTGCTTTTTATGGTCTCAGCCGGAGCCCGTGACCTATCTACTCCCTGTTTGGTATAAGTATATGTCCGAGGCACATTTGGTGCTCGCGGGAACTTGCACGGAAAAAGTTTCAACAGATACCTCCCAATACTTCTATGGTTGCTTCTACCTTTATGAGGACGTCTGGGCTTCACGCATTTTAATCCACTATCTCGCGGGCCCCCAAGAACCATTGCGGTTTGAACCTCGAAACCCACAAACTGCAATGGTTTCTAAAACTAGCTCCAAAAACCAAACTATTTGCGGTTTTTGGCGCACCCTAGCCCTAAGTTGGGTTCTGCGGAAGTCTAGATTGGACACTGAGCATCACTGAATAATCAGTGAGCCTGAGCCTGAGCACCCTCATAAAAGCGGCGGCAGCTCAAATAGAAAAGCCCCACCCGCCAGGGAAAATCCGGTATGTATAGTTACATGTATACATACATGTATGCACCGAATCCAAGCCAATACCAGCTTAGGCCCGTGCGAATGCAGATCTATATCGATACTCATGTTCTTATTGACATAGTAGGGCATTGGGTATTTTTTAATAAGTGACTACTAGTATGTGCAAAGTATTTTTATATCCAAATATGGTCATATACAATAAAGGTACCATAAAGCTTGCGTGGGGACTTTATTTCGTCTGGGACTTGGCGATCCATGTGGGTTCATTTTACCTGATTGGTCATTAACCTTGAAATATGGATCTACATCTACCTATAAGAGCACAGGATGTCGATACATTGCATCCCTTTTAAGTTACAACAGCCAAGTCTAGGCCATACACTGCTAGCACTAGACTCTACGCACAGCAGGAAGGTAAATTGGAATACATCGATTTCATAGTCGTGTAAATTTACATCCATTAACTAGTTAAGCGGAAGCTTTAAGAAGCACATCTGATCACAACCAGAAGTTCTTGCTTGGCGTATCATCTCTCAGTCTCCTATCCTTTAGTCGAAGGGGTGAGTACGTGTTCCCCACCAGGTGAGGAACAAGCTGAGTCCAACAGTCTCGAACACTCTCGAGACCGCACCGACAGCGATAGTGTCAAGGGGTCGCTTCTCGGAGAAGACCTGGCTCACAATCTGGATATATCTGTCAGAGGAATTGCCTGGGGTTTGTAAGGTAGGTAGGATGGATCAAGAACGTACGCCTGGAGCTGAGCTTGCGAAGAAAATAAGTGTACCCAAGTACGCAGCACCCTTGTAGCTCAGTGTGCCGGTGGCATTGATAAGTGCAGCCACACCATAGGTCTGAACAGCACTTCCAACGAGGGAGCTTCCCCAAGCTGCGGCTGCGCCGGCAGCCTCCTTCGACTTCAGGAATTCCTCCTTGGAGTTGGCGGCTTGAGCGCGGTGGTAGGTGTCACCGAAGACGGGGGCTAGGATACCCAGAGAGGCAGTGTGGGTGAAGATTGTACCCAGCGCAATGGCGGAGGGCTTCACAGGAGGGAGGTCTATATGATAGAGGTGGTTAGATCCCAAGTGGCAGAAAATAATGTTGTCAACTCACAATGAAGGGTAGTCATTTTGAAGTTATTATGAGTAGTTGGTGTAAGGAGAAAAAGTAATATAGAAGAGCCAAAGTACTTTAAGTACAGGGCGTTTCTGCAACCAGGGTTTGTGAGGTGACGTCGTCATGATTCAGCGCAACTGTAGGATGCGGAGGGCCATGACGTCAACTCGCATCCGGGGTTAACTATATTCAAGGTTTTTTTAGGAAATCAAGGGAGATGTTCGAGAATGTTGGATAAAATATCATACAAATCAAGTTCATAGAGCTAAGTTGTGGGGAAATTAATTAATTATACTGTAGGCGAAACCTACTTGCGAAGTATTCAGGTGCATCACTATAACCCACCACTACGCCATCAAGATCTCAAATCTCACAACTAATTTTCGTAGAAGAACGTTGCTTTGGGACTAGCTTGCTCGTCAAGACCGGTCCCCTATGTGATTTGTTCCCCTTTGAGGTACCATCGACACTACCCATGCCAGATCCGGACATACATGCAGATCAAGGGCGATTCGCAAGCTGGCAAGCTCGCAATACATGAAACATATAGCATAATATATAAGAAAGAATACCTAAAACTACCTCAAATCCCAGTACTG